AGGAGGAATTCTAATGCAGCTGTGTAAAACTAGAATTTTGGTTTTCAATATATAGTTATTTGGTCAACTACTTATAAGAAATACTTCAGAGATAGGAAGAAAGTGTGTCTGAAAAACTCTGCTTATGTAAAATCAAGAAGGGTCTGAGCTGCCCTTTTTTGGGGGGGGGGTGGTAAATACAGTTTTACTAACATTAATCCATGATCTGTTTGTTTACATGTTGTTTAGGCTGCTTTATGTTGTAACTACAGAGTAAGTAGTTACTTAATAGTTTGCAGTGCCTGAAATACTCAGGTTATAGTTACTTCCAGCAAAAGTTTATTGACTCGTTCTATAAAGTAATACCCACCAGAAATATTTCCAATAGTGGGTGTAACTTTTCAAACTTAGGCTAGTCTCTCGTGGCCCTTTCTAGCCTTTATCAGTTAAACAGTGGTCTCCTTTGATAAGCTTATGATGAGTTTAATGTTAGGAAAGGTTTTGAGCTAAAGACTTTGTCCTTAGTTTCATTAATCTTACTGAAAACCCCAACCACATTCTATCCTTTTGACTTTACCCATCCTGTTCATATATAAAGCATACTCAGCATCAAATGAAGTTCATTTGACCTCAACAAAAAGAGGCTGCCACATGTGGGAATGCTAGAAATAAACCTGTTTATCTGTCTGATGGGAACCATTATGCCTCCAAGAAGAAAAAGGAAATTGTCTGTCCAGTGAGATCTTTGCTTGCTGACTTTTGTACTCTGACCCAATGTTTTAAAAAATATGCAGGACTTTCATTCTTTTGAGTTCATTTTCAAATTAATATATATTTTTAAATTGTTTCTATAAATATAGATGCTCCAGCATTCCTATTGTGTTTTTTTTTTTTTTTTGACCAGCTGTTCAGGTTAAACTGGGTCACATTGCACACACTCTTTTAGTTAATTCTAAAATATTCAGGTACCTTCTACACATTACTACTTCATTTGGGGTATTTTTAGTACCATAACAATGCCATATTATTAGCAGGAATATTCCATTTTCATTTTTATGTCTCAAAATATACTTTAGATGTCTTTCATGCCAAATTAGATCAATATTTTACAAAACTGACCTCCTTTGGTTGACAAATAATAGGCCAGCGGCTTTCTCTGTCAGAGAGGTTTCTACATGATATATTTGACAGTCTCTTTCCTCCCTCCTCCTCCCCCCAACCCTGCAAACATGGACTCTGGTTTTTGCAGTTGTCTTCACAGTGACTTTACATCTGAGTTACACTAATGGGGTTCTCCCCCCCTTTTTTTTTTTTTTTAAGATTTATTTATTTGTACATACAGAACTGGGGTACAGGCCAGAGACTCAGGGGCAGTGAGAGACTTCACCAGAGACAGAGTGGGGAGCAGAACAGGCAGATCAACGAAGTATACTGCTGAGGGGAGCAGCGGGCGGGTCAGGAGAGGACAGCCTCGCCCAGGTGATCTCCTCCGGGGCAGGTGGGATTCGAACTCATGCGGAAGTGGCTTTAGCTTCTCAGTGCAGTGCTTTAACCCGCTGCGCCACCAGGGAGGGCCCGGGTTCTCCCCCTTTTAAGAGAGCTCCACAGCTCTTTCTTTAATGACACCAATATCAGTAGTCTCAGAAGGGTAAAGGAAGAAGATGGACATAATGTAAACATTAAGAGGGGGAGTTGCACTTTCCTCTTTTGAATGCAATGAGCAGTGGCAACATTCATACTTGAGTCGATGTGTCAGGAGTCGAGACCACAAAAAAATAAGGGATATGGAGCTGCCATTCCCATTTTTGCAGAATTTATTTCATTTTGATTATTAATTTAGTGGAAAGGTAACAAATTGATCTTTGGATTAGAAATGTGAGAAAGGAAATTAAGCATTCCCAAGTCATGTATTATTGACCTATATAAGAAATGTAGAAGTTGTTTGAAAGGTTACATGTTGTCTGTGCAAGATGGTCTGGGCTCCAAGTGTTTGTCTTGTGTCAAGCTGTCTCTTTGACAAGGATGTTTTTTCCTTCCCATTGTGAGCATTTCATCTTCAAGACACTGGATGCTTTCATCCTTGTCTGCTTTTGAAGAGGAAGTTGTTGAACTTATGCCCAGTGTAACTGCAAGAGAAGTAGGAGGAGATGCAGGAAAGTGAGCCAAAGTGCACTGTAGCATGTGTTCTGTCATGATAAGGAGAGGAATGTTCATGCTCCCTAGCTACCTATCTTAGTGAGCAGTAAATTTTTTTTAAGGAGAAATAAATTAATAATGCAGATGTAAAGCAATCACTTGGTATTCCAGGCTACCAGCATCTAGTTTGATAATTCTTCTCCTAACCTAATTTTTCTAGAACTAAGAAAGTGTTTGCAAAATAATTGATTTGTTGGTTGGAAATTAAGTTAGGAACTATTTTTAAAAACTTTGCTTTTTTATCTGGTTATTTCATAACACTCATATACTCTCTCCAGACTGGCACACACACAAACTCCCTTTTTCCCATAAAGTCCTGTTATATCAGGTTATTATTTTTTTTTTTTAGAATTTATTTATGCATACAGAACTGGGGTGCAGACCAGAGGTGCAGGGGTGGTGAGAGGATTCACCAGAGACAGAGTGGGGAGCAGAACAGGCAGATCAATGAAGTACACTGCTGAAGGGAGCAGCTGGTGGGTCAGGAGACGTCTGCCACGACATGTGGATCACCTCTGGGGCTGGGGATCGAACTTGCACTGAAGTGGCTGCGGCCAGCTTGCATTGCTGCATTTTAACCTGCCAAGCCACCAGGGAGGTCCCATGCAGGGTTCTTAATGGATTTTTATAACGCTTTCTTTACCCCACCTTGCTTTTATGTTCTATATTGCACTCTCCTCCAGCCCTGCTGTTATTCCTACTCTTGGAGATCTTTCTTGATTCTTGACTTATTCCCCTGGCTGTTTCCCTCATGTAAAGATTACTGTGCACATAGTTTATTTGTGCATTGTCTGTTTATGGAGAGCAGAAGTTAGTTTTTTGTTCATCTCTTATCACCAGTAGCTAATGTAATTTTTGGCATATATCTGCATCCAAACATTTATTGAATCTATGAATTACATCTGTTATGTTTTCTTTTGTCACTTAATGCAACATTTTTTCCATTTGATCTTTTCCAAGGGCTGTCATTCCATTGTAGAATTTCTCTAGTGATAATACTCAGCCTTTAAATAACTGAAGAATATATTTACATCAATGAAAAATACATATAAACTTATACCTTAATGAAAGTGTTTACATCCTGAGAAAATGAGCAAAAAAATCTCACTAATACACAAAAGAAATACTTAGAATAGTTAAAAGAAATAAAAAAAAATTTTCTTTTTACTAAGGATCATAGAAATGCAAATCAAAGCAAAATGTTGCCTATCTATTTATATTTAGAAAAAAATATTTTGCATAATAAGCAATCTTAGAGGCTTGTTAACATAGTCAGTTACTGTGGAGTTTAAAATGAACACTAGGAGTGACACAGACCTAGTTTTGAATCTTGCATCTTTCACTTTGTTGATTGTGTGACCTTTGGCAAACTATAGTGATTCTTTTATAAAGCTAAGAACTGGGCTCACTCTGGTGGCACAGTGGGTTAAAGCACAGCACTTAAAGCCAAGGCTGCTTCAGTGCAAGTTAGATACCCGCCCCAGATGTAACCCTCATGGAGCAGCAGACCTCTTCTGTCTCGGCCACTGCCCCCCTTAGCAGTGGACTTCATCAATCTGCCCTTTCTGCTGTCCACTCTGGCTATGGTGAATCCTCTCACTGCCCCTGCACCTCTGGCCTGTACCCCAGTTCTGTATTCATAAATAAATAAATCTTAAAAAAAATTTAGGAACCTACTGTATAAGAATTTTGATATTAAATTTATCCATTCAAAAATATCTGTTGAGTGCCTGCTTTATGCCAAACACATTCTCAGGCACTGAGGCTACAGCAATAAATAAAACATCTCTATCTGAACTTCTTCCTAATGGTGGAGACAGACAATAAGTGAATTAATAAAGTGTACAGGATATTAGGTAGTATCGGAAGTTGTAGAAAAACATAAAGCAGGGAAGAGGCAACAAATATTGTATCATAATAGTATTACAAATTTAAATAGAATGATCTGGGGGATTTCTCACTGAGATGTGACATTTCACACAGGTGAAATAGATCTTTGAAAAGAATATTTTGCACTAGCAAGTGGAGAAAATAACATGAATAAAGGAATGAGGCACAACTGTGCCTAATATGTTTGATGACTAGCAAGGAAGCCATTATAGTAAGAACAAAAGGAACAAGGGGAGGATTCTAAGAAAGGGAAAAGGGTGCCATATTGAAAGCCTTATAAGCCATGTCAAGCAAGCTGACACTACTCTAAGGAGGGAAGCCTGTGTAAAAAGTTCAACAAGGGAGAAACATATTTTGGATGGATTATGTTGCTGTCACAACTAGAACAGGTATAATGTTAAGCAGGGAGACTAATTAGGAAACCAAATAATTGAGTAAAGGCTACTGGTGACTTGCAGAAGAGTGAAGGCAGAGTGAACTTAGTAGACTCTATATTTTTAGTCAAAGATAATCTTACAATTGTGGGATTCAACAACTAAAGGAAGTAGTTGGCATTAACCAAAGTAATGTAGAAAGTGCTTGACCTATGAAGTAGCACCTTTTTCGTAAAAGATTTATTTTATCTGATTTGTTTCTGTCCACCTACACAAATTGAATATTTCACATAGAATATATTACTATATTATACAACATATGTTTAGGTGGCACATTGGAATTTCAGTAAATTATTCCATAAAGAGATTTACTCCTTTAATAGGAGGTAGGACTTGTATTTTTCCCATTTGACAATAATATATTGATGGCACGGGTTTTGTTTTAAATTAAAACAAATATTTAAGAATGTTTTTAAGTCAAAGAGATACTGAGTTAATGATTTTTTTATGGATAATAAACACATGTGACTCTTCACATCATTTTTTTTTCCTCCTTTTCAGGATGCTGCCTTATGGCTGTTTAGCAACAGGAGACCGCTCTGGCCTCATTGAAGTTGTGAGCACCTCTGAGACAATTGCTGACATTCAGCTGACCAGTAGCAATGTGGCTGCTGCAGCAGCTTTCAACAAAGATGCCCTTCTGAACTGGCTTAAAGAATACAATTCTGGGTTAGTTCACTCTGTTTGGTTATTAAATTTCTGAGCAGACAACCAATCAAATAACTGTCCTCCAAAATAGAATTATCAGTGTCCTAGAGGAAATATGTGTATTATTTATTTGCTTCATTTCAGGTTAGAGCAGAATGACAAATAGGATTTCTTTAGCACCTTACAGATGATGACCATTGAATTCTGTTTTATCTAGATCATATTTTAGAGCCATGTAGTAGTTATAACCTAAGAATTTAAGCATTTTAAAAATGTATTTTTGTTAAAGTTTCTGCAATTGTATCCATGTAGTGAACTTTCAGTAGATATTTGAAATAGAAATACATGAGTTTAGAGACTGTGGTCTCTTAAAATTGAAAATTATTAGGAATTATGTTATTTATGACTAGTGTATTGCAGAAACCTTGAGACATAGGAAACTAAGGAATTGCATTCAGGTGGTAATGTTCTGCAAGTATTTTTGTCTAAAGATTGAAGTCAGTTTTAAATTTTTATCATTGGCAAAATCCAAAGAGTTGTATGTGTGAGAATCTGTTTCCACAATTTGATTTTAGGACCTTATATCTAAAGAATCTGTATTACTCACTTTTGATTGGAACTGAAATATTTAACTCTAATAATGTAATTAAAGGTTTAGTTCAAAACTGACAAAAATATTCTGAAGCCCCAACATCATTCAGCAAAAACTGATGGTCTCCTTTGATTACTGTGCATAGGAACCTGTCCATCCTCACTGAACATACCCCTGCGACACAGCATTTTGAATGGCCAAGGTTTGGGTAATCTTATGTGTTTAGGCAGCCTGCTGACTCCTCTGCTGTGATCATCCTCCTTTTCTTGGCTAATGCAGCATTTTCTGTCCATATGCTTTGGGCAGTAAAAGGGAACAAGAAGTGTGGGCCTCATTCCACACATTTGGAGGCTAAAATCTTTGTTGTTCTTATTTTTCCTTTTATTCAGGGAGGACCTGGATCGAGCCATTGAGGAGTTTACTTTGTCCTGTGCCGGCTACTGTGTAGCTTCTTATGTCCTTGGGATTGGTGACAGACATAGTGACAATATCATGGTCAAAAAAACTGGCCAGGTGAGCTGCTTCCCAGACTCTGTCAAAAGCTTCACTGATACTATTACTTTTGTACAGTGCAGTCGCGTATGAAACTTAGGCAAATTCTTCATTGATTCTTAGTTACTTGGAGTCTTTAATTTTTAGGATTCTCAAACCTTAGTGAAGAGGGCAGAAGTCTTTGTGTTTCATTTGACTTCCTACCTTTTGTTTCATTGTCCATTTACCTCATACTTTTTTTTGTCTGTTTAGTTAGCTGATGAGCATCTATTTATAAGCTTAAAAATATTGCAGATACTTAAAAGTGACCTCTTCTTTCAGTATAAGACATTTTATTGATAACACATCTACACACATACCTAGCAATAGAAAGAACAGGTAACACACAGGATGAGTGGAGCTTTTAGAACATTAAGTATAAATAAATGTATGGCATAGGGACTTCTTCCCATATGGACAAGTGTTAGTAACTGAGCATAGCTGAGAAAGTGGAAATCTTTTTAAAGTTTTATTGGTCCAAGAAAATCTCTAGATTCAGAAGTACTGGATGCTGCTAAAGATGGAAATGTGAGAACTGAAAACAGATTGATTGACAGTATATATATAGATATATATAGATATAGTTATCAGTTATCAAGTCTGTTCTTCCCAAGCTCAAGAAAGAGATCAATTCTCTGAAGAAACTGATTTTTCTGACTTAAGAATACCAGATTCTACATACACTGAGGGAAAGTTGCTACATTAAAAATGGGCATTAAGGGCCCTTCCTAGTAGCACAGCAGGTTATGAAGCACAGCACTATGAAGTGACCTGCAGCCACTGCAGCACAAGTTCAATACCCAGCCAGGGAAGCAACAAACATGGCATGGCAGACCTCTCCCCACCTGCCCATTGCTCCCCTCAGCAGTGTGTTTCAGTACATCTGCCTGTTTTGCTCCCCATTCTGTCTCTGGTGAATTCTTTCACATACACACACTCCCTACCCTCCGCAACTCTGACCTGCACCCAGTTTTGTATGCATAAATAAATCTATAAAAGAAAAAAAAAGAGGGCATTAATTGAAAGATGGCTAATTACATGGTGCAATCCCTAGTCACTTCTGCTTGCTTTTCTCCAAAGACATTAGCAGGCAATTATATATCCCCACTTTTCAGATGGAGACTGCATGATTCTTATCAAGAGAATCTAATTAGTGCCAGTGGAAAGACCTGTAGATCCTTGACAATTGATGTCTTTCTCCATCCCTCTGCAAGGAATCACACCAGTGAACAATCTTATCATGTATTCATCTTTTAATTGACTCAGACTTAAATATTAGTGGCTCACCAAGAATAAGCAGTTTTATCTGAGAGAAGCCAGCCATGAAAGATGGAGACCAAAATAAGCAAAATGGGAAAAAAGAATTTGGGGAAACAAGTGACTATAGTAAACAGAAATAATTTTAAAATGTAAAGACTATGTTGTATCTATGAAAAGCAGATTATTCTCTTTACAATTCAGAAAATAGAATTTTTAGAAATTAAAAAGAACAAGTAAAAGTTAGAATAGAAGCCAAGGATAAGCCAGTATTTATTGGACTTATATCATAGTTCAGGCACACATTCACAGAAACAGATATAACTGGAAATGATTATGCTCAATGAAATAAGTCAGAAGGAAAAAGAAATCAGATGGTTTCACTTATAGGAGGAATATAGGGAAGCTGAAAATAGGGTCCAAAAAAGAAAAGACAAAACTTACAGGTAAACTGTAGATCTGAGGCATAAAACAGCAGGGGATCAAAACAGGAAGAGAAGAGCACAAGGGATTATGGTGATAGATTATAGGGAAAGTGGTGGTGGGAGATTTATGGGGGCCACACCTAGGGTAGGAAGCAAATATTGTACAAAAATGAGCAATGATGTAAGAAGGTAAAACAACTTAATAAAGAAAATTTTTTAAATTCAAGCATATTTCTAATTTTTTTTTTTTAAGATTTATTTATTTGTGCATACAGAACTGGGGTACAGGCCAGAGGCTCAGGGGCAGCGGGAGGCTTCACCAGAGACAGAGTGGCGAGCAGAACAGGCAGATCGACAAAGTACACTGCTGAGGGGAGCAGCAGGTGGGCCAGGAGAGGTCTGCCACGCCGTGTGGTCACCTCCCAGGCAGGAGGGAATCGAACTCATGCAGAAGTGGCTTTAGCATCCTGGTGCTGTGCTTTAACCCGCTGCACCACCAGGGAGGGCCACATTTCTAATTTTTTAATTTCAATCCTTGTGATAACCTTACAGAGTCAATGGCAGTGTATTCCCATTTATAGGTGAGAAATTTGAGGCTACAAAGAGTGAACATAACAGGATTTTATTTTGGCATTTTGGTTCAAATTTTTTTTAAAGATTTATTTATGCATACAGAACTGGGGTACAAGCCAGAGGTGCAGGGGCAATGAGAGGATTCACCAGAGACAGAGTGGAGTGCAGAACAGGCAGATCGACGAAGTGTACTGCTGAGGGGAGCAGCATGCAGGTCAGGAGAGGTCTGCTGCTCCATGTGGGTCACCTCCAGGGTGGGGATTGAACTCAATGCTGAAGTGACTTTAGCTTCTTAGTGCTGTGCTTTAACCTGCTGCACCACCAGGGAGGACCCTCAAATTCTCTCTTTTTTAACCATCTTGCTTATTGTTCCTTAACTTCCCCAAAAGAATGAAAATACCTGATAGATACAAGAGTGTTCAGAGGTAATAGTCAGTCATTACAAGGGAGTTCCACCTTCATCCTAATAAAGGTTGTATAAGAAGTAGCAGAGAAGATGAAGAAAAGGAACTTGCCAACCACGTAATATGAAAACATTTTTCCAAAGTTTGTATTCATGAATACTCGTCACAATTGTCCTTAGAATGGATGAAAAGACCCTAAGTCTTTTCACCATGACTTTCAGTGTGTCAGGCATAAAGAAAAGGTCTTAAAATCTTTCCAGAGTTCATTAGGTGACATAAAAGAGTTCAGGAGTAAAAAAATCTTGACTTCGCTGTAGCAACATTGGAAATTAATAAGATGGTGTGTGGTAATCTTTATAATTTTGAGAGAAATTTTTTTTTAAAGATTTATTTATGTATATAAGAACTGGGATGCAGGCTAGAGGTGTGGGGGATGAGAGGATTCACCAGAGACAGGGTATTCACAGAACAGGCAGATCTACTGAAACACACTGTTTGAGGGGTGCAGTGGGCGAAACAGAAGAGATCTGCTATCAGTGTGGGTCACCTCCCTGGCTGGGGATCGAAATTAGCTTCAGTGGCTTCGGACAGCTTCATAGTTCTGCACTTTAACCCATTGTAGCACCAGGGAGGGCCTGAGAAAATTATTTCTAACCTAAAATTCTATAACCAAATTATCTGTCAAGTATAAAAGTAGAATATAGACATTTTGAACATACAGGGTCTCAAAAGCTGTATCACCTCTACAGTTGTTTTGTTTTCTTTTCAGAAATCTGCCAGAATAAGGAGGATGGCATCTAATAAAATAAGGGTCTAAAAGAATAGTATCAACTGGTGCGATTCACCTTTAGGGCACATTTGTCTGTATGTGGAGGGACATTTTAGATTGTACCACTGGCATCCAGGAGGTGGAGGCTAGTGATGCTCCTGAATACCTCACATAGGGGATAGAATAGAATCTCACACCAAAGAATGTCAGCCTGATGCTGAGCCCAGCCTGATATTGAATGTCCAGAATAATGTCAGCCTGATATTGAGAAACCCTGGTTTAAAGCAAAAGTTAATGTGATGTGGAACTCAGAAAACAGACAGTCCAAATGGGAGAAGACTAACAGGGAGAACTCAGAATGATGATGCTACAACAGGCTAAAGAACAGTTAGAGGGGAACTAATAGATTACATGACCATATAGAAAGCTGTTTTGATAATTTTCATTTTTAGGGTTTTTAAATTGGGGTGAGAACAAAAGATAGGATCATAGAACAGCCCTCCAATTTTTGTCAAGGAAAAAGATGAGGTTTGAAATATATTTACATAGTTGAACAATACAAACAGTGAATACTGGTCAAAGAAACTGATGCAATCAGACTAGAGGTCTAAGTCTCTACCTTCCATAATAAGAATTAAAATGATGAAGTAAAAAAACACATACTGTTTAAAAACACAGGTAACTAACTACCAAGACAGACATGTAGAAGGGTGAGGGAGAAGTAACATTTAAATACTAACTGAGTGTGTGAAAGAGCCGGTGGGGCAAGGATATACTCTCTTTCTGTTATGTTTCTTTATGTAGAATATTGACATAGAAATATGTGTTTTAATATGTGGAACTATTTGACATTTTCAAATCAGACATAATTATTGTTTTGAATATAGTTTTCTTTTTCAAGATTTTTCTTTCTCCCTGGGAATATTCATTTAATATCAGGGTTATTATGGAGTATCATAGATGTATGAGTGGTAGAAATACTCTTCCCCAGTAAGCTATGAATTCAGGGAATAAAAGCGGTTCACATGAAAACTGGTACAGTGAATGGAGTCTAGGACTACTGAGATCTTGTCTTTCCATTTAGAATCTGTAAGAAAAATAAAGGAAATTAAAACAAGTCCCATTTGTTTTTTAGCTCTTCCACATTGACTTTGGACATATTCTTGGAAATTTCAAGTCTAAATTTGGCATTAAAAGGGAACGAGTGCCTTTTATTCTTACCTATGATTTCATTCATGTGATTCAGCAAGGAAAAACAGGAAACACTGAAAAGTTTGGTCGGTGAGTATTGCTTTTGTGTCAAGGGTCAACACATGTAACATTTCCTCGCCTGACCAGCTGTACTAGCATTTCTTAGCTGAGGTATCTTTGGATTGGAAGATAATTCATCTACTAAGAGGAGGTTTTTGGGGAATTTTCCTGTGAGATTCATGTTAGTTCAGAAATGCTTAGGAGGAAAAAGAATGATAGAAATTTGACATAAGCTACTATGTTTTATTCCAATAGTATACTACTTTTTATCTGTCTTTGAAACTATGAAGACGTTTGACAGTGAGGTGCTGAGAAGAAACAATGAGGGAGCTGGGACTCAGACTGAAATCTCTGATCTATTGTTGGCTACTTGTATGTTCTCAAGCACATTGCTTTTCTTGTCTTACCTCTTAAAATGGGGCAAAGTATAATTAAGTATCAGGGCTATTAGGATGATTACAGATATGTTATATGGCATGACCTACTCATACATACAGTATACTTATCAAATGACTACTGTTATATTTCTAGTTTTGCCTGTGTTTTTGCAGACTATACTTCTGAACCCACATTTTTCTTTGGCAAAAGTAGGGAAGTAGGATTTGATTGTCTTCTTGAATGTCCATCTTGAAGTGAGGAGAGAAGCAAGGCAAAAAGACAAAGAAGCTTATTGTAAAAGCATTGTCATTTTGGGGGGGGGCACCCTAGCCTGTAGTCAGACTACAAATGTGTTCAGAAATCCTCTTGGATCATAACTACCACGTGTTTCATATCATTTTTTTTTTTTTGTCTCATAGGATTAAAAAAAAACAACAACAACCGGTATTAAATGCTATGTTGCCTTTTATCATAGAATTTCAATTTAGTGGGTTTTTCCCAAAGATATGTGGAAAGTTTCATTTATTCTATGTAAATAATAGTTCTGGGATAGTTTTCAAAAACGTGAATGAGCCATTAGTTCGGCAGAAATTTTCCAGGGCTGATGGAAAATCTAGATGTCTCTCTTTCATTCCTTTATGAAATGTGCTATCTCTCTGCTTACTTCATGCTCTTGTGGTTGGTGAATCAACTAAAGGTTCCGCCAGTGTTGTGAGGATGCATATCTGATTTTACGACGGCATGGGAATCTCTTCATCACTCTATTTGCATTGATGTTGACGGCAGGGCTTCCTGAACTCACATCGGTCAAGGACATACAGTATCTTAAGGTATAACCCCCTTTGAATATATGTTAGAATTTTTGGGCATGGAGTTCAGCTCTACCTACCTGCATCATTCAGATATTCAAAAGGAATAATATGAAGAACTCCTGGCTCTTCCTCAGGATTGAAGTGGTTAACAACTCAGTAGTTGTCATACAATAATCATGAACTTATTTCATCTTCAAAAACCATCTGGCAGAGATTATATTATCATCTACCTTGGTGTTTGTGTTCCCTCCTGTAAACAGTATTTAAATAAGAGCATGAGACATTCCTTGAGCAGGTAGTAGGGCGGCATGACCGAGCCAGCCTCTGATGGGCTGGGACATTTAGATGTCACAATGAAGGATGTATAAAACCAGATAATTTTTCTTTTGTTTTTTAGGACTCTCTTGCCTTAGGGAAGAGTGAAGAGGAAGCACTCAAACAATTTAAGCAGAAATTTGATGAGGCGCTCAGGGAAAGCTGGACTACTAAAGTGAACTGGATGGCCCACACAGTTCGGAAAGACTATAGATCTTAACGATCAACCTTTGCTCCTAATGTGTTTGTTGGTTTGTTTTGTTTTCATTTTGCACTTGCACTAAATTGAACATGACCCTGCCAGAGATGTTATAAAGGGAATGAAATCCTGGAATTCACAGTTAAATTAAAAACAAGTCATCCCACAAAACCCAATCTGAACAATCCCTGATGACCACTCTCTGCTTTTTTGAATGCTTCCAAGATTCATCATGAAAACTGTCAACATTATGGATAATCATTTCCTGATGACTTTGCACGCCAAGGAATGCTACTAGAGATTTTCTTTCTTTTAAAAAAGTATTTGGTACTTTTCCAGAAAGGTGTAAATACTTCTTTTTAGTATTGTGACCAAGTGTTATCACTCAGCCAGCTTATCCATATCTGGGGACTGGTGGCTGCTCTTATTTTCCAAATGAGGCTTAAAAGAAAGGTCTTTCTTCCCTTCTTAAATTGTGTAAACTACAAATTATAATATAATTTGAAATTATGATTATTTTTCAAAAGAAATCTTTTAAACCTGTGGAAACAATAATTATTTGTTAATATTTATCTACCATGATAGCATCATCCCAACCAGACTTGCTGAAAATCAACTAGTGAGGCAAATATAATATATATGCTGCATATATATTTATAATATTTCTAGTGGGAGTTCTATATAAAAAGATGATTCTTTGGTTTTCTTCAGCCTGTGTTTGAAAGTTTTACAAAAAGCAGAGCTTTTTCCTAAGTAACTTTTCAGTTGACTATGTGATCCAGTTCTTCCAGCTGCTTCTGTAATGAGGCACATATTAATATAATTTTTACATGGCATCTATGAAAGAGTTCATTTCATAGAGCATAATACTTGAGTCATGAATCCAAGGTAGAAAGCAAATGAAAAGAAAACTATTTATGGAATAAATTCCAGACCTAAAATCCAGTATTTAAGTAAAAGTGCCAGATGTTCTTACTGTATTTATTAAAACTTGTAATAATGTGATTTTTCAAGGATATTAGTTCAAACTGAAATAGTTTTGTGCCACCTGGAATTCTTTAATTTATTTGTTGAGGTACCATATACTTAGGGTGCTAGATGGCAAATAATGTTAATATGTGCAATAGGAACTACTGGTTTGAATGTGTAAATGGATGATCTTTTTGAGTACTGGCAACACCCAGCAAAACTACTGCTTATTCTCCAAAGAATATTGGGAGCTTTCAATCCTCAGTGACTAGGAAAGAGAAGTATTTGCCCTGTGACTGAGTTTTATATGGGAATTTTATTGAAGATTGTTTAATTTTGTTGTCCACCTAAATGTTCTTAGTCAAATAAATGGGTGAGCTAGCAATGACTGCAGTCGGGTTGTGTGGGTCTCTTCTTTATGGGCAGCATAGACCTTTGGACTTTATTATCAATGGGCTTCTGAGAAATAGTCAAGTCAGAAAAACCAACCTCTGGAGTAGATTGAGCCTCATGGTCTCTGACTTCTTTCCCTGCTTTCCAACCCCATCAGACAGTGTAAGATGCCTCTTAGACTTTGCAAAAGGATGCCCTCAAGGAGATTCTGTACTCTGAGGTTTGGGGATTTTCCTTTCAGTTACTTGGTATCTATGCCAAGGCCATATTGAAACACTGGGGCAGATGCCCAGGGCAGGCCACAGTTTTCTGTAGATAACTCACTTGAGTATAGATCGTAATCTCTGGTTTTTAACATTCCCAGGAATGGTCTTGACTCAATGAGAGTTCGGAATGTGTAGAAGGTTTGTTGAGGAATCTTTGTTCCTTATCAATACATTATTACATGCAAGCAGTGTTTGAAGAACAGAGACCATTTCCAGGCAGAAGCTGGCACCACTATTTCCAAAAGGACCTCTTCAAACCCAAAGGGGCCTTAATAAATGAATGCCAAATTAGTGATTGTAAATGTCTCCAAGAGCAGGAAAGGGAATTAACTTCGCTAAACCATGCTGGGCCAATGCCCGGGATGGTTCTTAATCTGTCTCACCCTCCCTCCAAAAGATAGATGGGATCCAGTAGCACAATAAATTCCAGTAGCTGCTGGATATTCTAAGCAGATGCTCCCTGCATACTTAATGAATGGCATACTTTTGACTCTTAGGAGTTCTGACTGAGCCAGAGAGGAGGAGGTGGAAGACCAACCTGGGGAATGGAGTCTGGGCTGCAGGAACAGCTTCTTGTATGGGGCCTAGTTACTCAGTGATTTGGCTGTTAAGTGCTTTGATTAACAATAAACCTCACTGAAAACATTTGGTTCCCTATCTTTTGGTACTTTTCAAAGTTTCCCCCCCAAAAAAAGGTTTTAGAGGCCATGTACATTTTCCTTCTTGAGGACAGCATCTGTGTCTACCTTGGTCTGGGAAGACTTTGTTAAATAATTCATTCCTGAGTGTCCAACTCAATCTGTGGGTAACAGAGGCCAATATTTGTAATCCAGCACTGCCTCTGACCTTTGAGTAAGGTATTTATTTCTCAGGGTCTGAGATTCCTAATTTATAAAAAAAGGGCTAATAAACAATTTATATCCGTGTGATTTACTGTTTCCTATGTAGTCTTGTTATCTTCTATTAAATTCCTGGGTGATTTAAAATTTCATTATTGTTGATCTATCGCAAAGTGGCCCTCAAAGTGTGGTCCTCTGACTAAAAGTATTAACAATTATCAATTAGCAGCTGATTAGAAATGCTAATTATGGAGCCCCATCCTAGACTCACTCTGCCTGGTAGAAAGAGGTTGGTTCCATTCATTAAGACTGAGTGGAAACATGGGCTGATCCCAACTCAGACTGAAACTCATTTTTGCCTCTGTTTCCTCCTCCTTGAAGGCCACAGAAGGGAATACCATGAAGGAAGGCCCCTTCCAGAGCATGCAGGTACTATGCCATGTGACCCTGACTAATGAGGACGGTTAGCTCTCAGGAGAGGGTAGGAGTTAGGTTTTTTTTGAAAGGAGGTGCCTTCAGGAAAAGATAGGATCTAAGTGGAGGTGATGGAAAGAGCAAACTAGATGGAAAGGTATATTACCTATAAAGACCTGGAGGTGAGGACAAAGCAGGATTCATGGGCATCAACAGACTCAACAGTTGCTGCTTTCCTCTTCCTCCACTCCAGAATACTATACTTCTCAGGGATCCAAGTAGGATCTATGCAGCAGTCATGTTATCCTAGAGCCTCTTCCCCTTTCGGTGTGGCAATTTTATCCCCTTTCTGATAATGGGAAAATTGTCTGATATTACCTTCAGGGTTATTCTTCTAAAATGTGTAATTAATGGATTTTTGGAACTCTTGATTCCTTCCCACTTTTAACAGCCCAAGTTCAAGAAAAATTTAACCTTTTAGACCCTCCTACCTTTATTTATTGTGGAAAGTGGCACATAGAGAAGCATGCATGAAATGATAATACATACAAGTAATCTTATAGAGAAAATATGGAAGTAACAACCACACAGGTCAAGAAAGAACACTGTCAATACCTCAAACCCTTTGGGTTACCCATTCTGGTCAGGCGTTCCCTCTTCTGTGCCAAGGTAACCTTCATCTCTTTTTTTTAAATGGCAATCATCAGTCTCTTTACTTGAGAGTTATGCCATGTGCTGGTTGAGTCAGGCTAATAAATTCAACATTGTGTTTTTAAGATTGAACAATGTAGTTGTATGTATCTTGGTTCATTCTTTACCATTATATATTATCCCATGTTATGGATATCCCTTAATTTATATATCCTTCCTCGTGTTACACATACAGGTGTTTCTATTTTGAGGCTACTACAAATAATGCTGCTATGATTATAATTAACCTGATTCACATATGTACATATTTCTTTGGATGTATATTAAAAATAATGGCTCACGGGATTATGCATATCTTTATTTCAACTAATGCTAAAATAAGTGGTTTTTACAATTAATTACTCCTCCAACATTTACTTTTTGTTGCTGTAAACTCTCACCAATACCCAGTTAGCTAACACTTAAAAATTTTTAGATATTCTGGTGTATGTCAAACAATTTGCATTTCCTAAGTAGTGACAGTTTTTCTCATTTGTTTTTGAGTATTTGGATTTTTTTTTTCTTTATAAAATTCCTTCTTAAATCCTTTGTTCATTTAATTGGTTGCCTGGCATTTGTTTTGGGGGATGGGCATCTTTTTTCTTTTTTATGTGAAACGATTGTTGTTTACAAGGCTTGTCAGTCATGTTGAAAATATCTTTTGCACTCAGTGTATTATACCTCATTGCTTAGTAGTTTCTTCTAATAACACCAGATCTTAATTTTAATGTCAGGTTTATCATATTTGTGGTTAATATTGCTGTTACAGTATTAAAAAAATCTTTTCCTACTCCAAGGTTTTAAAGATATTCCCCTACATTGTTCTCTAAAACCGTTATTTCTTACCTATTCCATTTAGATCTATAATTTACCTGAAATTACTTCTTATCTTCAGTGTGAAATAGGAGCTATTTTTTATTTATTTATTTTTTCTACATGGCACCAAGTTATTTTTTATTAAGTCCTTTCCCCACTGCTGTATGTCCACCTTATGCATAAGTAAACTGTATGTGTGTGCATAAATATATATACATGTATACACATATATGTACATGTGTTTCTGGACTCTAGAAGATCTCATTTCCCTGTTTTAATTTAAATGGATCAATTTGGGGCCTTCTTCATGGTGTAGAGGTTAAGTCTCAGTGCTATCACCTTTGAGGCCTGAGTGCTATCCCCAGCCAGGGAGCTGATCCACATATGGTACGGCAGCCCTCTTTCCTCGCCCACTGCTCCCCTCAGCAGTGTATTTCAGTGGCTCTGCCTGTTCTGCTCCCTGGTGTCTGGTGAATCCTTTCAACCCCTGTACCTCTAGCCTACAACCCAGTTCTTCTATACATAATTTTTTAAAAAATGGGTATTTTAAGTTCATAATATAGTTTGTGCCAGGTATATATCGAAACTACATATTAAATCCCTATAACAATCACTTGTGAAAGGTACAATTGTTCTTCCTCATGTAACAGAACTAAGGTTCTTCTCCCCATTCTATCTCTGGTGAATCCTCTCACCAACCACAGGCCTGTACCCCCAGTTCTTGCATGCATGCATAAATAAATTTTTAAAACAAGAAAAAGAAAACAGTCACAGAAAGTTATTTGTCCACAAAGTAGAAGCCAATATTCAAACTGATGGGAGTCTGTTGTAAGTTCCATGCTGTTGACACTATCTGTTAAAATTCACAGAAAGAAACCATTCCAGAAAATTGAATGGTGTTGTATTGTTATGGATTAGGCTGAGGCAAATTGACATAATCAGAATCTTGACTTCCACCGACATTGAGCATTCTTTATTTAGCTCTTCAGTTGTAGATAGCCACGATGATGTTTTTTAATTGGTTAAACTATTGTCTTACATTTTTGTACAATATTTGCTTTCTCCCCTCAGGTGTAGTCCCCATAAACCTTCCACCACCCATCACCCATGAACTGTCATCATAGTGCCTTGTACTGTTTCACCCTGTTTTGATCTCTCTCTCCCCTGCAGTATGCCTCAGATCTAGTTTGTCTGCAAGTTTTGTCTTCTGGTATTATTTTTTTTGACTGTTAGTTTCCCTATATTCCTCCTATAAGTGAAGCTATCCAATAATTTTCTTTCCTTATCATTTATTGAATACCTTCCAGCTCCATCCAAATTACCAGGATGGCACAAAATTCATCTTTTTTGATTGCTGACCCTGTTGTGTATATATACCACATCTTTTTTTTTTTTTTTTTTAAGATTTATTTATTCATACAGAACTGGGGCACAGGCCAGAGATGTGGAGGATGAGAGGATTCACCAGAGACAGTGTGGGGAGCAGAACAGGCAGATCAATGAAGTACACTGCTGAGGGGAGCAGCGGGCTGGTCAGAAGAGGTCTGCCACGCCATGTGGGTCACCTCCGGGGCAGGCGGGGATCAAACTCATGTGGAAGTGGCTTAAGCTTCTTAGTGCTGTGCTTTAGCCCGCTGCACCACCAGGGAGGGCTGGCCTATACCACATCTTCTTGATCCACTCATCTGTTTTAAGACATTGAGGTTGTTTCCATATCTTAGCTATTGTAAATAGTGTTGCATAGGAATTCAGATTTCCTTTCAAATTAATGTTTTTGTGCCCTTTGGGTAGATTCCTAAGAGTGGAATTGCTGGTCATATGTGATTTGCACCTTTTTGCCTAGAGTTTTTTTCTTTGGTAGTGACTTAACATTTCATTGTTGCTTATCTATGAAATATGCTAACAGTGGAAAGAAATCCATTCCCTTCAACATTTTATTTTCTTTCCCTTTGCACTGATTATTGATTCCTACAAAAGGTTAAATGGAAGCAATCTCAAAGGAAGATATTTCCTTACATAGTATTGTGTTTGCTCTGAAATTCAGAGCTTTTTTTCAGATTAAGGAAACGTTTCAATTCCTAAGAACAAAAGGATGCTGAACTTACCAATTTTTTTTTAACTGGTGTTCAAATACTAAATCATGTTTATATGAGTCCAATTTGGTTGCAATATAGAACTTTACATATTGTAGGATTTGAGTTGCCATCATTTCATTTGGAACTTTTTGCATCTAATTTGATCAGTGAAATTACCATAAATTCCTTTTAAGATCTGGGTCAGGTTCTGTGACAAGTAAGTTTTTGTGACCTTACAAGAGTAGTGTTATTTCTTACTTGAAAGTTTTGATAGATATCCTAAAGTTTTGCATGACACTGCCCTTCCTCTGCAGCATCATTGTAGAGCAGGGACCAGGTGTCTGTGCTACCACTGGCTGTGGCCCTCACTAAGAGCCACGTGGTGCCTAAGTATATGAATGAGCAGAGGACAACTGCCACCACAGGCGCCTCACCAAGCACACCAAGTCCAAGTTCCCATGGGCATGGTCCAGGAGGTGTGTTGCTCCGCCTTGAAGGCAAAGTGCCACAGAGCTGTTCAAAGTCTCCAAGAACAAGGGAGCCCTGAAGTTCATCCAAAAAAAAGATGGGAAGGATACATCTGAGCAAAAAGAAAGAGAAACTGAGCAACCATGACTGCCCAGAGGTAGGTGGCCACCAAGAAAGTGTGAGCTCCTCCCCCACCTTGTATGTAAATAAATTCTTTTCAGAAAAGAAAGAAGTTTGATAGAATTTTTCTGACAATAGAAAATCATTAGAAATCTGTGAGGTGTGGATTGAATCGCTAGAAGAATATTCTGATTTTTACATCTTAAAATGTGTTTTAATGAGTTGTCATTTCCTAGGAATGTATTTCATTATTTTCAGGTTTATGAAGTAATTCATGTGTTTAGAATTTATTAATGGTTCAGGAGAGTAATGACTAATAGTTATGTTATGGATAGTAGTAACTAATAGTCTCTTTTTCATTTCTGTTATTGGATATTAGTTAGCCTTCTCTTTTCTGAAATACTCTCACTAGAGGTTTGTCAATTGAAATGATCTGTACTAAGAATTGCTTTTACTTTTTGAGCTCTGTTGTCATCTTCTTTCTGTTTACCTTTATAATTTCCTTTCTTCTACTTAAGATTTACATGAACACTATTCCCCTTTCCAACGGTATGCGATGGTTGCGTAACTGATCAATTTTATCCTTTATAATAATTTTTGTAGCTTTTGTAACAGTTATCTGCACCCTAAGTTTTGATATGCTGTTATTTTCATCATTCAGTGCAAAATACTTCTTCCACATTACCATGTAGCTTTGAATTAAAAACAAAATATGGGCTCACCAAGTCAAAGGCAAAAGTGCACTCCCAAAGTTAGTCTCCACAGAATAAATCAGACTGTATTCCCAAGCGTTTGCTGAGGTACATGACGCACACTTGGATTTTGAACTCTAGATACTAGAATTCAAAATAAAATGCCTTAAAAATAATTCCTTTGATTTTTGGTTGTGGCACACACTTTTTTAGTACCAAATAATAAATGCCCATTTAAAAGACACTCTTTACTCAAGAGAAGTGAAAAGGAACCAAAACACCCAAATGCTGGAAAGCAAACTCTAAAGTGTTAATAAGCCTCAAAAGAATCCCTTACAGTTCATGTTTTGTTGTTTCAGTGGCAGCGATAAACAGCTCTGGGGTGGCATAGGGAGAGGTGGGGGGTAATTTTTGTAAAGGCAATATTCTGATGTGCCAATTGTGAAGACTTCAAATAAAGAAAAACAGTAGTTGTTGAAGGTTGATGTTAATGTTTACTCTCCCATCAAGCATGTTATATACCTGGCCCAGGCCCTTCTCAGCCACCTTCCTTCATGCTCTCTTGCCCCTTAGTTTTTCATCACCGGTATTAGAAATATTACACTCTGGTTGTGCCTCTGTTCTGTCAAAAAAAATAAAACCTTAAAAATATGTTAATGATAGGGAGATAATAGTAAAGGTCATCCAAAGTGTTGCCACCTGTGCTCTCTCCAGACACAGGTCCACACCTCTAACTTTTAAAACACTGCCCTAGCATGCATTTGGGGTGGCCTGGTGTAAAGAAGTTTGCTTCTTCCTCTTGTTATTTTGGGCCTCACTGTTCTGATTAAACAAAATAGCTATATTTTTAGAACTCTATTTTTAATTAAAATTTTTTAATGTTTCCTTAATATTGCTTCTAGATCATAAGATTTTTCTTTTTCTCCAGTTAAATTAATCTTATTGAGGACTAATGATTTTGAACAAGAGTGACAACTTATGTATTTAGGTTACAAATATATGACCACCAATTTTTAGAAACAACACCAATTTTATAGTATTTATTATAGTAAAAGCTCTTCATGTAAAACATTAGTATTTTTGGTCCATATTTTCCATTTGGCTTTAGAACATTTTACATTATTTACAAAATAAATTGCAATTTGTATGACTGTACATAATTTTTTTCCTGACCCCTTTGGAACATTAGCATTGAGAAACTAAAAAATAAAACTCATGGCATACTAACTGTACTGAGAAGTACATACATACTCTTAATTACTGCATTAATTTAAAGACCTGATCTTTACTTAGTAAGATTAACATTCATTCAAGAATCTCCGGGATTTCTCTATTATCCACAATGAGCGTATGAATAATCCCTTCTTTCCTCTTCCCACTACTGACAGCCTTTATGTAACAGTCATGGTTGCCAATACTGAAGTGAGTTTCAGTTCCGTCATCAACAAACTCACCCTAGGCAAACAGAAGAAGGAATTAGTGTTAAGGAATATTTATCTTTTGTCTAGAGCAGTAAAACCACCTACAAGGAAGGTGTGAAGAGGTTTGTCTAGTTAAATATTAATTTACAAAATTAAAGTCAGAGGTTGTATCTGGATACTTTTATACATATCTGCTATGACTTGGTTTTGTTTTTTATTTCTATATCCACCATTTTAAAGACTCTTATTAAAGTACAGGGATATAAGGAAAACCAGCATTTTCCTAACTCTGGGTAGAATTTGGCAGGGCCCTTCAAGGAAGTGTACCAAACATCACAGGGCTGGGTGTACTGCACCTGGAGTGTAGTAGTGGTCTCACTTTTTTTTTGTTTTAAAGATTTATTTATTTGTGCATATAGAACTGGGGTACAGGCCAGAGGCTCAGGGGCGGTGAGAGGCTTCACTAGAGACAGAGTGGGGAGCAGAACAGGCAGACCGATAAAGTACACTGCTAAGGGGAGCAGGGGGTGGGTTAGGAGAAGTCTGCCAAGCCATGTGGTCACCTCTGGGGCAGGCGGGGATCAAACTCATGCAGAAGTGGCTTTAGCTTCTTAGTGCTGTGCTTTAACCTGCTGCACCACCAGGGAGGGCCAGTGTTCTCACCTTTTTTAATATTGAGGCTTAAACAAAGCCTGTAGGTCATGTTTCTGAGAGGTCAATTTAGAGGGCAAGGCAAGGGCTGAATAATACAATCCCTGTAATAACTTCTTAGCAATTTGACAAATATATTATCTTGATCATGTTGCTCTGAGATGAAAAGAAAAAGGGAAACCTAGGCTGTGACTCATAGGCAGCAAGAGCAGGTATGCAGAGCAATGCAGAGGCTGCCAGACATGAGCTGCCAACGCTGCCCTACAAATGAGACTGCATTTACAATGAGGAGGCAACAGGGCTAGAAAGAGTTGGTGTCCAAATATTCCTAGTCTCCTGTCAATTACAGGGCACTGTAGAGGAACAGTTTTTCAACTTTTTAATTTGCATCCACATTCTTTAAATTTGCAATGAAAAATTCCTTGAAGGGGCCTTTCCCATTGGCGCAACAGGTTAGGACTCAGCACTGAAGAGAGCAGCAGCTGTTTCAGCGGAGTTCAGTCCCCGCCCTGGAGGCGACCACATGGCGTGGCAGATCGCTCCTCTCACCCGCTGCTCCCCTCAGCAGTGTACTAGACTGACAAGTCTGCCTGTTCTGCTCCCCATTCTGTCACTCTTGAATACTCTCACTTTCTGCAACCCTGGCCTGTACCCCAGCTCTGTATGAATAAATAAATCTTAAAAAAAAAAAGAATTCCTTAAAGGTAGGGAGGAATGTGATCTAAAACTTGTGATTCTCTATCAAGAAAATGTCAGGAAGGTGAGAAATAACAAGGGTCCCAGGTGTGGCAGTGACACACAGCAACTACCCATGTTAGTGATACCTGAAGCTGTTGTAGAAGGGGCCATAAAATACAGAAGAGCTCTCCAGGCTTCTCTGCATAAAAGAAGTCTCCAGTAGTAGTGGATTTAATTCAGAGAATGGCACTCAATATCAATTTTGAGTGAGTCCTGGTTAAATTTCCTTTCAAGAATTAGTAGCAGGGGGGCCTTCTGCGCAAGGAGTTAAGTCACAGCTATCTGTAGCCACTGCAGCACGGGGGTGAGGTGAGGTGGGGTGGGGTGGTGTGGTGTGGGTATGTGTGTGTGTATAGTAATCATTTACAGCTATCTGTAGCCACTGCAGCACGGGGGTGGTGTGGTGTGGTGGTGGTAGTGGTAGTGTGTGTGTGTGTTTGTAGTAATCATTTCCAGCTTTTATCTTTGCATGGGAAGAACATGGTATCTAAACATTGTAACCCATATTTCTCTGATTCCATGCATTCTCTGATTCTGTGTTTATTATGCAATTACATTTCTTCTATAAAATGTTTACATGGCTATTGTCCATTTAGTTATCTGGTGCAGCAGACTTCTCCCGTCTTGCCCACTGCTGTCCTCCAAAGTGTAGTTTGGTCAATCTACCTGTTCTGTGCCCCACTCTGTCTCTGGTGAATCCTTACATCCCTGCACCTCTGGCCTGTACCCCAATATTTGTATGCATCAATAAATAAATCTTACAGGAACAAAAAAAGAATTAGTAACAGGATTAAGAAACAGTAAAGCATTTTGTATCTTTTGATTCCAATTTCATTAGTTCTCAGAAGCCTACATCTCTGCAAGACCAGCAGGTTCTAGGAAGTCTGTTGGATTAATTCCTTCAGACTACCTTCTGTCCAATTACTGCTCAATTTCCTATAGCTGTATTAGATAAAGGAGATAATGGCAGCAATTCCAACATGCAATTAGCTAAAATATGACTAGGGATAACAGCTTTTCATTATCTCTTATCCAGGTGTTCAGGTAACTGGGCATTTCCACCCAGTGATTTCGGCTCCTGCTCCCATATTCCCTGCTTCCCTACAATCTTTCCATTTTCTCCCTGTGTTTGTATATACCATAGTTATTTCATTCCTATGTGAAATTCACTTCTATGTTCATCCCTCCCATAGCCACCACAATACAAGCATCTGGAATCAAAAGCTGAATGCCTTGGGGTTTGTATTTGTATTTCACCAGGCTGGGGGCACAAATGTGTAAGACACCGTCTCCCTCCCTATCTCGGCAGGGCTACACATTCTACCTGACTTCTGGGGTTTATGTCAGCACCCTTCTCTTTCTGCCTTTGTGTCATCTGACACTGTATGCATCACTGCATTTTCAAAAACTTCATTTCTAGAAAAGTACCATATGCTTTGAGCATCTGGTGTAAAGCCTTCTTATTCAAAGTGTCCCCTAAGGGCCAGAGGCCTGGTATCATCTAGGGAAATGTTAGAACTTGCATTTAAACAAGATCCCAGGTGATCTTGTTTGAGAAGCAGTGATATAAAGCACTCCTTTAACATGGATAAGCAGGAGGATGCCAACCTTTGCGGAGGGGAGAGAAGATGTTTTTTCTTAAACATGGGAACTGTTTTTTCAGCATAGCCTTGTTCAGGAGATGAAAGGGAAAGGATGGAATTGGTGCCAGGTCACCACACATAAGTGCATACAAACTTACTGCCCATGTACTGCCAAGATTTCTGGAAGATTTCTGGAGAAATCTTCAGAATTTTAACTTTTTTAAAGATTTATTTATTTATGCATATAGAATTGGGGTACAGACCAGAGATGCAGGGGTGAAAGGATTCACCAGACACAGAGTGAGGAGCAGAACAGGCAGATGAACTGAAATACACTGCTGAGAGGAGCAGCGGTGCTTCAGGAGAGGTCTGCCATGCCATGTGGGTCACCTTTGAATTCATGCTGCAATGGCTAGGGTAGCCTCATAGTGCTGTGCTTTAACCTGTTGTACCACCAGGGAGGGAACTCTTTTTTGTTTTTAACACAAGAGTTAAAAGCTCTGTGATTCAGAAGCACAGCAAAATTTCAATGGCAACTAATAGACATGGTGGTAAGAGTAATCAGAAGTTCAACTTACTGCTGTCTCCATTTTTTTACCATTGCACCAAACATCCATTGTGTCTTTTTCTGTAAAAGAGTTAGAAATTTAAAAAAATTAGTAGCTGTAATTTAAAGATAAAGTTAACTATTTATACTAAATATTTGAAGAAAAGTTCGCTATACTGAATTTAAAAGACTACACTAATATTCCAAAACTCAATACATGGATTTGAAACACTTTTAATTTTGAATAAAGTATATTCACTTTTTAAAAAGATTTATTTATTTATGCACACAAGAACTGAGGTAAAAGCCAGAGGTGTGGGGAGTGAGAGGATTCTCCAGAGACTAGAGAAAAGAATAGGCAGGATGACAAATACACTGCTGAGGGGAGCACCGGTGGGTCAGGGGAGGTCTGCCGCACCATGTGGGTCACCTCCCAGGCTGGGAATAGAACTCATGCTGCAGTGGCTTTGGACAGCTTCATAGTGCTGCACTTTAACCCGTTGCACCACCAGGGAGGGCCCAATACATTCACTTTTTGTTCATAGACAAAATAAAAATGAAACAAGACAAAATTTAAGATAAAATTGTTACCCTAATATAAATTGGTAACTTGTTTTAAAAAAAAAAAAAAACCAAAACAGTCATTTAAAGGAGATGCACACAAAAGATGTGGAGGGGCCTGTCCACATGTGTCCTTTCATAGCAGTGACTCCATGATTCATTCCCTCTACTTTCACACTGACCCAAAGGATGATGGCAGCCACAAAAAGGGCTGCTACAGGGCTCATATACGATAGACAAGAGTATGTAAAGTTTAGAAATTTAGCATTAAATCTCTCACTGCATAGCACGATCATCACTATTCACTTTTATAATAGTTCCGCTTTGGGAAAAACTGACAGGTACATCTGGTGAACTGTGTTTAGTACAGTGCTGACATCATGGAACAAAATGCTGCTATGAAACACTTGGACTTCAGCCCTCACAACTCTTCAGGCGATGTGTCTATGCGCACACATGCATAAATGTACTTGTAAATGTTAGTCCCTGGGGAGTAGTAAGAGAGGAAACGGCATTCATCAAGCGGCCAGAAAATGAGCTTTGGCATTATATAAAGCAGAGTGGAGCATCAAAGCGGATGCAGGAGTAGTACAGAGATCAAACACTTGCTTGGAGCTCAAGGTGAGGCGCCAGTCAGGAGCTTGACTCTGACAGCACTTAGCTCCAGGAACACATTCTTTTCTCCCCACAGCTTGAGCTTGAGATAGAGGGGGAGAGAGTAAGGCGAGGGTTGCCTCAAACTCAGTCCATGTGGGAAGCATCTATAATCACAGCTACTGGGAAACCCAGCTAGTCCCAGCACACAATCAGATACACAATGCTAAAATATAGCACAATAGTGGAAAAATTGGAATTTTATTTGCATGCCTCCTGAACATATGCATAAGCTCAGATTTTCTATAACACCTTATTATTGATATACCTCTGGAGAACATCTCTAACCTAGAAGCCATAAAAGAGCAGAACTGGACTACATAAAAGTAAAAAATTTCTGCATGATTTAAAATAATGAGCAAGAGAGCAAAGTTATACAACAAATGACACACTCAGCACAAGGGGCTAACATTACTAAAATAAAGACTCCTAACAAAAGACCAACAATAAAAAGACCAAAAGTCCAAAGGAAAATGGGACAAAGGACATAAAATAACCTTAAACACTAAGATGCTCGACCTCACTCAATTTTGAAGAAAAGCAAATAAAAACAACACTGAAAAACTGTAAATTTGTGGAGAAATAGGTAGTAATACAAAATGGTAAAAACACAAACAAAGGACACTTGGGTAAAATCTACTGAAATTACAATTGCAATTCTTTGACCCAGCAATACTTTCCCAACTCTGGGGCTTTACCCTAAAGAGATATATGTACAATTTCCTCAGAGGCAGTAAACAGACTCATTCATTTAATATTGCTTCTGACAGCAACAGATTAGAAACAGCCCAGTGCCCATCAACTGGGTCTCAAATAAGTAATTCTTTTATTTACAGAATATATGAAATTTTTTTCTGATTTCTATTTAAAAAATTGAAAAAATCCTTTCTGTACTGATATAAAAGAATCTTCAAAATATTCTAGTAAGTTAATATGGCAAGATGTTTTTATGTAATAAGGAAGTAATAAAATATTTTTATTCATTCTGAATAAAGAAACTAGATGGAATTACTATTAAAAGTACTGTCTATGAAGTAAATAGGATGGAAGCAAGATTTCTCAATGTATCTTTTTCTGAATGAAAGTATATATCATCTGTTCAGTTATATTAACTAAAGAACACAGATACCTAAACTTAGAGAGTCAATGACAGAAGTTGATTCTGTGAAATCACAGAAGATGCTGGAACATGTTCTTGGAGTCTGCCTCTACAGTCTGCAAATTCTCTCAGCCCACATGACTGACTAACAGCTGGAGCCCACAGGTGGGTCCTGAGAAGGCATGTTATGCAGATTTTTTCACAGAGGTCCAAAGATTCAGAACACAGAGAAAATTTTCTCCTAAATAAAGTTTCCTCATAACAGTACCTTCCTTCTATTGCCTTTATTTTCCTCCCACAGTGTTCAGTGCTTTGGCAACTTCTAGGCCTAACAACACTAACTATTCTAGTCTTTGGTGCCCTGTCTTCTGTAAATCATTTGAGGAGTGAAAAAGAAGTATATCTTTGAGCTCACAGAGCCCTAGGTTCAAATTCCAGCTTCATGATTTACTAGCAGTACCCTATTCTTCAAGTTGCTGCCACTCTGAGGATCAATTAACCTCAAATTTCATCACTTGAGACAGAAAGGGAGAGAGTAATGATGATGAACCCACTTTTATTGCAGGCTGTTATCAAGAATAGAAATAATTTATGTAAAATGCTTAGCATGGTATGTCCCATAGAATATGGCCTCAGTAAAAGTGCCAGTCTTGTTATTAAGTGCTTTTTGGGCCTTATTTTCTTTTAACTTCACATAATGTTCAGAAAGTTATAAAACATTGTAATTTGAAACTGGTCATATAATATGTAATTAACTACCACTCAACTACCTTAAATAAGCCCATTCTTTGCCCAAGGAAACTACAAAAGTAACTACAAAAACATATTTAAAGATCCATTATGTGGTAGACTATTAAGTACATTAAATGCATTAATTCTATTAAACTGCAACTATGTAACAATTTTGCAAGGGAGATACTCTCATTAGCCCCATTTTACAGAAGAGGGGGCCAAGACTCAAAGGTTAGGAATTTGCCCACCACACAGTTCTGATCCTAGGAGGCAGCATTCTTCATCAACAAAGTGTAAAATGTAGACCTTAGTCAATAGCTTGGAGTTGGTGGATCTTAGAACTGGAAGCTCAAGCAAAATGATTGCTCTCAGCAATTTTGCCCTCACCTCAGTAAAAGACACTGGCCTGATCCTTTTACCAAGTCCCTTTCAAACAAACAGCAAAAGGAATAAGGTTGGTCTGAAATTCACTTCCCTTGCACCCTCATCAAGGGCTACATAGAGAAAGGAGGGGAAGGAGAAAAAAGGATTTTTAAGCCCTAAGAAAAAACACAAGTACACCATCCTGGGTATTTGAAAGAATTATGAGCTAGGCACAGATTAGGTATTCTCTTCCATTTTGCCTAATGATATAGAGACAGTCTCAAATTTTATTGAAGAGTGAGACTACATTTCTAAACACACCACTGTGAAATTCTGAAAGATAAACATGATGCACTGCCCCCAGCACAAGAAAATGTCACCAAAAAATTTAACTTTATATAGAAAAGATTCACCATACACTTAAAAAAAAATTATCATTATCCTGACAACTTAGTAAAATCAGACAAAATACCAATGAACTTTGAAGGGAAAGAAAATTAGATTGTCATCTGATATTTTGACAATAATAATTTATACCAGAATGTAAAACAGTATACCTAAGATACTTACAGAGAGAAAATGAGAGTCAGAAATAATATATCTAGCAACTGACATTTAAGAATAAATGACACACATACAACTGGAAAATGATACACAAGAAAATATTTTAAATTTCTGGTAATGCATAATGGTGGTAATTGAGACTATTATGTATGTACTATGCCACAAAGCAAATGATTAATTATGTCATATTTTATTTGAATCATCTCTGTGTCCTTGAGAAGGAAGATTCTCAGTGTAGAAGAAAGGATATACAGATGTTAGATGAGGTTAAGTAAAAACCTGGCATTCCTGAATTTGAATTCCAATATGAACTCATAAGCTACTTTATCATCACAAAAAGTCTATCTATTCATCTATTCCTTCATCTATACACTGAAAACCTATAAATAATAAATGAGCATCCTATTATGTATGCTTAGATTAAGCTTTTAAAAGAAACTTAGAAGTCCAAGGCTGCTTGGAAATATGGGTGATTCCAGGTCTGTAAAGAAAATGTTCAAAATAAGCCTAAAGCATCTTATACCAGATAGCAAGGAAGGAATCAAAATCTACCAAGGATATGTCAAAGGAATTTTGGAGCCAATAAAAGGAGACCACATTAACCCAAATGGCACAATTTGATCATTAATAAAGATAATAGTTGTAATGTACTGAAATACATCACGTGCTTTATTTTTTAGATTTTTTTAAAATACATACACCTACGGGTATAGGCCATAGGTGCAGGGCGAGGAGTGTGAGAGGGAGAGTGGGGAGCAGAACAGGCGCATCTACTAAAATACACTACTGAGGGTAAGACAGCAGAGGTTTGTTTCACCATGTGGGTTTGCTCCCTGGCTGGGGATCGAACTTATCGGGCAGTGGCTGGTGACAGTGACAGTGGCTGGCAATGGTGTGATAACACTGAGATGTTAGCCTGTGCCAAAAGGGAGACCCAACTTTACACATGCTTATGAAAAGAAATATTAAGGGTTCTTTCTCATGGCATAGGGATTAAGTCTCAGCACTATCACCACTAACACCTGAGTGTGGTACCCCACAGACTCTCCTACCTTGCCCTCTGCTTCCCTCAGCAATGTTTTTCAGTAGATTGTACTCTGAAATATTAGCTTCCCAGTCTGGTAAATATTGTCACCCCCCAACACTTCTTGTCTTCATCCCCATCCTCCTATGCATAAATCTTAAATAAAAGAGAAACATCAAACAATAAATGAGTACATTATTCTCTTTTTTAAAAACCCAAGTTTATAATCCTCAAATCCATCACTATAAAATCTGGCTCTCTGTTGTTTCCTATATAAATAAATTTATTAAACGAATACTTCATTTATATAGGAGATATTAGAAATATAACTGCACTTATACTAACCTCTCCTACTCACAGCTCCCATAAAAGGCCTGAACATTTTGAGGAACTAATTAAATAGCCATCATAAAAAGCCAATAAATTCTGCAGAATAGCACCACTTACCCAACACAACTCTAATGTCTTCACCATCCAAGCGTAATATCCAGGTATTGGTGGTTTTTGATCTGTTCTCCATATACTTCTTGAGGCTTTTCCCATTAATTTCCAGGGTATATTCATAAGCAAAACCACTGACAGCATCTATTTTTATAGTTGCTTTTGTCTTCGCAGCTCCCACACAGAAGGTTTCTTTGCCTACTAATTTGAACATCCATTCTCTTCTTATCTCTTCCTAAGTGATAAAATATAGACAAATAGAAAAAAAAAAGGTAATATTTAATTTTGGAAATAATTTAAGTGAGCAAATGATAATGCTATTTAGATGTAATTTTCTTAAAAAAAGATTTATTTATTTTTACATAGAAGAACTTGGGTAAGGAGCAGATTAGGTAGATTTAATGAAATATACTGTTAAGGGAAGCAGTGGGCAAGACAAGAGAAGTCTGCTGTACCATATGGGTTAGTTCCCTGGCCAGGATCTAACTCAGGCCATAGTGATGATAGCTCTGAGGATTAACCCCAAGGCCATCAAGAAGGACCAAGATATAAGTTTATTTATTTATGACACAAAGGTTTTAGAAAATAAAGTCATTTTAAGTGTAAATATTAGATATTAAGATAGTCTATGGATTTTGTAACCAGTACTTGTGTGCTTTTTATTGAAAAATGATATATGCAAATGTATAAAGATAACCACAATAATAGAAAAGACTTGAATTCACATATGAGAATCTAGATTAACAAAATCAGGTTTCTCTGATACCATGTTTTTATTATACAAAATAACATTTTTTTCCTCTTACCTTCCCATCAATATATACCACTCTTTTGCCTGATGTGGTTCCATGTTCAAATTCAATTTTATGGACTCCATCACTTAAAGCAACATCCCAAACAGCTACAAGATCAGTCATTTTTTCCAAGTTATAAGGAGGGCTAAGGAAATAAAATAAAGCAATTATAATCAGTAAAAGAAATAGTGACTGAAAAAGAATAACCAATTAAACCTACACAGAAGGAAATATCAGATTTTTAAAACCCCTGAAATTACAAAATAAAGTGACATTACCTAAGAAATCTTACTCTGAGTACATCTTCTTTCTTATACACACTCTTCCTTTAAAATGAAACTATAATATATGGGTATTTCGTCATATAATTCCCAACAAAGTCACCTTAATATTAATAGGATTTAGAATCTATCAGTTTATCCATATTAGTGTTCTAAGCTAGGCTATAGAATAATACTTGCAAAGGTCAGTAAAAAGTCTGCTTCTCCTCCCCTTCATTTAAAAAGCAAGGTATGTAATTTTGGTGGCTTTTGTTTTTTAGATGCAATCACTACCAAATAAGAACTTGCCAAACCTTCCATACTTAATGTCTAGGGATTCACAAAAAAAGGATTCTAATTTACTATTCTAAGGCTGAAGAAAAGAGAAATCCTAGAAGAAATGTCCTAAAATAGAAATAAAAATGTTATGGGGGGGGGTAATAAAAGTTATTCTTGTCATCACTCCAGGAAATCTTAAAGAAATAAAGGATTCTGTGTAAAAGTTTCTGGTAAAGGGAGCTCTCCCCCACCCAAGACTGCCCATTGTTGTCTATGCAGATCTCTTTTTTTTTTCCTAAAAAGAGAAAATGTCCTTTTAAAATATAAAAAAAAAAGTTTCTAGTACAATTTAAACACATATTATTGATATTAATGCCTATGTAAAATATATTTTGTACGATATGAGTATTTTGACATTGATATAATTTCTCTATTTGAAGAAATATTTATTATAGTAATATTGATCACAACTAAGTTATTAAATAATTGTTGTGCCAGTCACTATTCTAAGAGCTTTATACATTTTAACTTACAGAATCTTTGGCATGAGCTATGTGATGTAATTATCCCATTTTTATAGATGAGGGAACTAAGGTACAAAACAGGTTAAGGACTCATCCAAGATCACAATGACAGGAAGCAGCAGAGATGGAATTTAAATCTAGCACTCATGCTTCAGAGCCTGTACATCTCACCATTCATACATTCTTATCTCCTTGGTGTGCTCTAGATCAGAGATGGCAAATGGATTTTAAGTCATTTTAAAGTGATAATTTCAGGAACCTTGTGATTTGAGGAATTGGGACCTTACATCCCTGTCCTATGGGAAAAGATGTCACATTAGTGTAGCTGTCATCTTCATGCCAGCTATTTATTAACCTTGCTCTAAATCACAGAGAAATAAAACCATGCATTGTAAAATTTTATAAAATGTGTCCCTAAAAAAAGTGGACTGGATAGCTGTTCTGAATGATTAAAAAATTTTCAAAAGTTTCAAATGCAATCTTACTGCAAGGCAAGACATTTACCTTTCGTCATCTTCAAAGATAGGACTGTCATCTCCAGATGCCATGGTTAGCAAAACAGTCTTTAATCCCATTAGCAGGCAGGAAAGAAAAGAGCAGAATTGCAGCAAAGGAAGGTTGAGAGCAACAAAGATGATATCTGCAAAGGGTTTTTTAAACTTTGCAATTCATTTCTTAAATTGCATGCAGTTTCTGATGAAAACAGCTTTTACATACAACAGTTGCAATCTCCAATTTTCAGGGAAATAAGTCATGCAAATTGACTGATCATATTTTTCCCTGTTATGGACTTATAAGATCCTAAAACTATAGAACAAATTCTTGCTTATTTCAAGTATTATATCACATCAGAGCTGCAAAAGATCTAGAAATCCCCTGAGTCCCATGCTTCTCATATTGAGGCAACAGAAACCCCAAGGGTATGGGGCAGTGGGTTGAGAAATACATAAAACTCCAGGATAAACAGAAAGCATCTCCTGGTAGCATCAATGTTTACAAATTAACAAATTAAAAATGTAATCTTTAGCTTAAATTTTAGAAGACCATCGTGTGGTGTACTATATAAAATGTTGTTTTATATAAATTCAAAGAAATATTGAGTTTTCAGGAAGCAGCCAGGGATATATACTTGTTTGCTTTCTAATTTAGCCACTTATTCAAGGCCACTTAATTCACTAGTACCACTAATAAATCCACAAAAGTTATATGGTTTGCTCACCTCACTAGCAGTGCTCAAGTCATAACAAAAGCCCTGTACTCCTGGTACATTTAACTACACAGTATCTAGTGGTGCTAGTTAAGT